CCCTCCTGGGGTGTGACCACTGCCCTCTTGGGGTGTGACCACTGCCCTCCTGGGGTGTGACCACTGCCCCAGGGCTCAGCTCAGGGATGACCTCAGGTTTGCAGGTGACATTATATTTGCTTGTCTGGTTTCAGGTTAGAAGTTCTTCCATTCTTTCTTTTGTATTTGCTCTCAAACTTCTATACCTGGCACTTAAATCTGGCTTAGAAAAGCTCACATGGGATGGAAATACCTCATCCCTTTCTGGATGTTAATACCCAAGATCAGTGGGGTTTGCACCTTTTTGTTTTTTAACGAAAATCTCTTCAAATGAAATCTCACATTTTGTAATAATAGCTAACACACTTACTGGGCACTTAGTATGTGCCAGTCACCATGCTAAGTGCTTTGTGTTTGTTCCTGCTGTCCTTCACGCAACGCTCCCTATGTCATGTTATCATGTTGCCCATTTCACAGATGAACAAAGTAAGGCCTGTGTGTGTGTGCGTGGGTGTGCACACATGTATGATCCCTTTCCAGGTAACATGACAAATAAGTGGTAGAGCTGGGCATAGGTGGCACAGGTACATCCTAGCTCCTGCAGCCAAGCCTTAATAACTACTGAGCTCTGCTGTCTTCAGAATTAAAGTGGAAGAGATGACTCTGGGAGGCTAGGGTGGGTGGATCACCTGAACTCAGGAGTTCAAGACCAGCCTGAGCAAAAGCAAGACTTCATCTCTACTAAAAATAGAAAAAACTAGCTGGGTGTTGTGGCAGGTGCCTGTAGTCCCAGCTACTTAGGAGGCTAAGGCAAGAGGATCCCTTAAGTACAAGAGTTTGAGGTTGCTGTGGGCTATGACACCACAGCACTCTACTCCAACATAACAAAGTATCTCCAAATAAATAAATGAAGTGGAAGAAACTGCTTGAGGGTGGGAGTGGAAAGCTGAGAGCTGGAGTCTGGTCTTCTTAACTGTCTTCATAGCTCTCTTCTCTGGTGGTTCCTAAGGGACCTCCTCGAAAACCCTAGAGCTGCTTGGGAACCCCAGTCTAGAAACTTCTGCCAAAGTCAGAGTAAGACTCCAAAGCAGAGGAAGTACTGTGTGCTGGTATAGCCACAGGGTAGACACTGGCGGAGTTAGCAAGGTGCTTCAGAGAGAAAAAGTAGCCAGCTGTGGTGGGTGCCCATAGTCCTGGCTACTGGGGAGGCTGAGGTAAAAGGATTACTTGAGCCCAGGAGCTCGAGGTTGCTGTAAACTATAAAGCCACAGCTTCTACTTAGGGTGGCAGAGTGAGACTCTGTCTCAAAAAGAAAAAGGAAAGAAAAGTCTTTGAGAACAGCTAGTTTTCCTAAACAGGCTAAGTATTCCTCCCTGCCCTCTCCTAGACGTCATTTATGTCTAGACATCATTTGTGTCTAGAGGGCACAAATCGTTTCTCTCTCCTTTACCTTCCCTTTGGTCTCTAAGCTGTCAAGAAATCTAAATTGCAAAGGCTGAGCTTGAGATCCACATTAATTTTGTTCAATATGAAAAATGAAGAGAGAAGGCTGGCTTTCTACCTGACTGGGGGTCATGAGGTTCTCTTGGTTACAGTGGGCCCTTCTCAAGTGCTAGGCATTTGGCTAACCACTTTGTACACCAGATGTCATTCAATCCTTACAACTCTAGGAGGTGGATTCTGTTTCAGTGGAGCAAAGTACATCCCCAAACCTGCTGAAGGTCAACTGGCTGGTGAGAGGGAGTGCCACCCGGTGAACCTGGATGGACAGGAAGATGATCCCCAGGGTGGCCCTGGATTCAGGATGGAGTTTCCTAGTAGGTGGGTGAGGACCTCGAGAGATGTCACTAAACCCACTGGTCACTGAGCAGGGAAAGTTGGCAGAGCAGTGTCCAGAGGCAAACTTAGCTATCCCCTGATGTCCCTCACAGAAATTTCTTTTACAGAAATTCAGCTGATGCACCTCTCTGGGTGGCCATGACCTTGCTGGAAAAAGATAAAAGACCCTCTGACTGTTCTTCCCACTGGTGGGGTGCTGAGGAGCCCTGGGGCCTGGGAGACTCCCTGGGCACCCAGGCAACTCTGAGAGAGGTCCTCACGCAAGACAAACATTCAACCTTTAAGGAGGTCAGAGATATTAAGCTTCTTCTGAAATCCAAGGGACCAGGTGGTTATTCAAAAGCCTGGCTCATCCTGCAGGTAACATTACGAATCTGTGACATTCCTGAGGCGTGTTTTATTTTCTTTTTCTTCTCTTTCTCCTTTTTTCCCTCCTTTTTTTGAGACAGAGTCTCACTTTGTCACCCTCAGTAGAGTACTGTGGCATCACAGTTCATAGCAACCTCAAACTCTTGGACCCAAGGGATTCTCTTGCCTCAGCCTCCCAGGTAGCTGGGACTATAGGTGCCCAACACAAACCCTGGCTATTTTTTTTAGAGATGGCAATCTTACTGTTGCTCTGGCTGGTCTTAAACTCCTGAGCACAGACAATCACCCACTTCGGCCTCCCAGAGTGCTGTGGGATTACAGGTGTGAGCCACCATGCCTGGCCTGGTGTTTTATTTTCACTGGCCTCATGCCTTGATAGGAATTTCTATTCTTTCAATGGGTGGTGGGAAGAGAAGGTTATGTCTTTGATGTTGCTTGATGCAGGGATCAGAGAAGCTCCTGGAAAGAATCCTAGCAATGCCTTGGTCCTACCTTCAATCCACTATTGGTAGCTCAGAGTCCTCTGATGGCTCCTGCATTTGTGTGTCTAAGGCTTGATCAGATTTAAGCCATTCTGGCAATCCCTTTTGTTAACTTTTCACTTCATTTAATTGTGGTAAAATGTACTTAAAATAAAATTTACCATTTTTACCCTTTTTAAGGGTGCAGTTCAGTGGCACTAAGTACGTTCACTTCTGTGTGCAGCTATCATCGCCATCCATCTCCAGAACTTGTTGAGCACCCCATACTGAAACTAACCCTTCATTATTTAAAGCTCTTTCATGTGCTTGCCCTGTGCCAGGCTGTGTGTCCCCCACATGCCTCCCATTTATCAGCTCCTTTCATTCTCGTAGCGACTCTACAATCTGTTGCCAGCCTTATATACAGATGAGAAAACTGGGACATGAAGGTTACGGTGGCGTGGCCAGTAAGTGCCAAAGGCAGACTTCACATGTGGGGCACATGAGCTCATCCCAAGAGCAGAGCTGTTGTTCTGATGGCCGGGGTGCTGCTTGGGGCAGGTGGTTGAGGCCATCCCCACCCACTGCCACCCCAACTTCTACCCAGCACAACAGGCTGGGAGAGGCGCTCCCATGATGGCAGGGCTGTGCTAAGTGAGGCTTGTCCTCATGTGTGACTAGACAGAAGGACCTGGAGCTGGGCCCTACCATCATGGGACACTTGGGGAAGGGACAGGGACCTGAATGTCTTCATTTTCCTCCTGTAGATTTAATTTCTTAACCCAATTTCCAGGGAGGGGGATGGAGTTAGTTCCTCACTGTCTTTCTGGGAAATGAGGTGATTCTTAGGCCTAAAGGAGAATTGTATGATGCACCTGTATATTTCAAGTCTAATCACAATGATCTAGACCGGTTTTTTTCAAACTTTTTAAAATCTCACTGCACACTCGAACCTATAGTTAAACTTCATGGCACACTCATGTTGATCAAAAAGAAAAGCATAAAAAAGAATATAATTATTGTGCTTTGAACTTCTTTCGAAAATAATTCAATTGATGATCTTTAAAAGAGGCACACTGATCTAGACCTTGCAGATGAAAGCGAGAGACTTCATGTGTACATGTGTGTGTGCACGTGTGGGGAGGGGGCAGAGGTTGGATTGCATTGTGCAGGTAAGCGCCTCCAGCCTGTGTGCCCTGGCCCTGGCCCCAGAGGCAGGGGCCTCCTTGTGGCCCTGGATATTTTGTAGCAATCTGAGAGGCTCCATCTTTTCTGCAGGCTGCCTGCCCCTGAACAGCAAGTTCTGACTTTGCCTTGGGATTCAGGCTTGGTGCCGACTGACTGACGGCTTGATTAGCACTTGCATCGTCACAGCACAGGGTGTGTGCACCTGCCGTTCCAGCAGTCAGCCAGGTTTGCTGTGACGTGCAGTCAGCCAAGCACCTGAAGGACAGAGGCCCTCAGAGGGTTTCTAGGGCAAAGCTCAGCTGGCTTCCCTCTGGCACAGGATTTGCACAAGGTCCCATTCTTCCCTCTCAGGTGGAGAAAACAGGTGGGAGAAGAGGAAGGGTGGGGAGAGAGGCCTGAGGGACAGCAAGGGAATAGCGCTTACTAAGCACTTACTTTGCATCAAGTTATGTATTTTGCACACTCTGGCTCCCTTAATCTTTTTAGCAGTCCACATCATCCCTGTTTTAGGGATTAGGAAATAGCAGCTCAGAGAAAAATGACGGTATTACTATCAACAACCCCAGTGTAATATCATAAGACAGGTGCAGAAGTCAACTTGCACAGACCTTAACTAATTCTGAGATCTTGGATAAGTCACTTAACCTGTCTGAGCCTCAGTTTCCTCATTTATAAAATGGGGATAATTGTTCCTTCCAACAGGGCTTCTGTAAGAGACAGTGTTTGGCATGAGGCCTGGCACACAGCTAGTATTCAGTAAATGTTGGCTAAATAGCCAAGATCCAACGACCACAGCATACAGGCTCTGTGCTAAGCATTTTTTCTGCTATGTTGTTTAAATATTATAACACGTGTACCCCCAGGAGACTGGCATTATCCCTTCATTTTACCTGCTAGCAAAATGAGGCTCAGAGAGATTAGCTGAGTCTCTCCCGCCCCCGACTGCCCAAGGCCACAGCCTGGATGGAAGACGTTGGAACAAGGAGTTCAGCGCCTCTTTTCTATAAGAAGCAGCTCTTCCTTCTGCCTTGGCCTTCCCCAGCTCTCTGCCCTGAACGCCGGCATTTCTAAGCCCCAGCACAACCTTGTTGCCTGAGGCCAGCACTACCTCCCGTCCCAGCCCATCCCCGCTGCCCTCAGATGGGCTCCCCTGGGCGAACATACCTGTCTGATGCTCAAAGGCAGGGTAATACTCTTCATTGCCGAACAGATCGGTCCACGACATCAGGGGGTCGCAGAAGGACGTGTTAGGCAGGAAGGTGCTGTGTGTCACTGAGTCCAACATCACCCTGCAACAGGGGGAGAGACGGTGAGGTGGCGTGGGTGACAGGCTCCCAAAGCCAGGCTGTCCTGGAGCCCCCAGCAGGGTGACATGTGGTTTTTAAGAATCGTCACCAACACACACTGCCCAGTAGGAGCAAGGCAACCCCTAAGTGCTTTCTATAGATGACAGTATTTAATCCTCACCGCATCTTATCCTATCCCATTTTATAGATGGGAAAACTGAGGCAGAAGGGTTGAGACAATTGCCCTCATAGCAGAACTAGAAAGTGGCAAATTATGCAATACTGTCTCTTTACTTTTCCTGTTTGCTCACACCTAATCCCTTGGACTCTGACGGGTAATGTCAATAGTACGCTGCTGAAAACAGGGCAAGACTTGCTACATGCCCACAATTCTGAAGCCTGAAAGCTCTGAAAACTGAAAGCGTCTGTGAGTGTGTTTGGTGCAATCTTATATCCCAGCAAAAAATAGTCCTTAACTGATGTTATATAGTTTTGTATACTGTTTATATATACATACACATATAAAAAGATACATGTCATGTTTTGTAACTCTAGTTATAGTTTTATTTATTCCACTTAGTGAATATTCCTATGCTACCCTGTGGAAATACTAACATTTTGAGCAATCCTGGATTGTGAGGGATGGTCTCTATTCTTCTGTATACTTGTCATACTCAGTCACCTTTCTGATCCCTGAAGAATTCTGAATCCTGTAGTACGTCCGCAGCTTGGGTTTGGGGGAGGAGAGTGTGGGCATGTGATAATCGCAGGGAATACTTCACTTTGGGCTCCACGCTGAGCCCTTTGGCACTTCAGCTTCATTTTTTATGACTGCTCAGAACAGTCGCTCTGAAATGGGTCCTGGTGGTGTTGCCTTTTATAGGTGAGGAATGGAGGTTCCACATTCAGCTGGCAGATGATGAAGTTTGGGTGGCAGCTCAGGGGTGTCTGTTTAGAAACCCCATGATCTCAATTGCTGTGCCCTACTTCCTATGCACATCATGGGGACGGGAGCTTTGGAGATAGGAGGTGATGGAAGGAAGGGGATGATGGTCTGATTGGTGGAAGGTGGTGATGGTCTGATTGGTGATGGAAGGAAGGCAGAACAGAACCGGCCTGGGACCCCTGCTCACACGCCTTCCTGCCTCTGTCAATCTCATTGTTGCCCCTTCCTGCACACCCATTTCCCACCTCTTGCTGCATCCCGAATCCACCACACAGTTCAGAACAAAAACAAGCCGTGTTTGCTTGACTAAAACAGCCTGTTCTCCCAACTTCTTTGTTCTGACTCTGGAAATAATGTTAACCAGGTAGAATGGTTTGACCCACATTTTGCAGGAGGACACAGTATCTCAAGGTCATACCACGGGGAAGGATCTTGAGATAGTAAAAACACAGAATTTTAAGATGGTCTAGAGTTAATTCTTCATCTAGTCCCAAGAGGAAAAAGAAGAAAAATCCTTAAGGGAGGTAAGTACCCTATTGATCAAAAAATTCTCCATTTTTATGTAGCTAAATTCAGTTTACCAGATGACTTTTGTAAAATACCAAATGGCCTTTGAAAAGTTTTGGGGGTGTAGATAGCTCTCAAACATCAGTCATTTGCCTACCATGCTGATAACTTCTCTCAATCTGTATATTATGAATGCTATTATTTACCTAAAATACTGACTGTGTATTGAAAAGGAAAACCTTTTATCACTACTATACATGGAAAGTCAGGATTCTTTTAACATTCATAAACATTTAAATAAAAATTGTCCATCCATGCAACAGCTCAATCAGAGATTCGCAGACTACAATCAGTCCAGCCCACCACTAATTTTTATATAGCTTAAAGCTAAAATGACTTTACAGTTTTAAATGGTTACATTTTAAATAATCATATAAGTATTTACACAGTAGCTTTGATTTTGCCTTTTCAGCCCACAAACACTAACATACCCAACCCTTTAAGAAAAAGCTTGTAATCCCTGACCAGATCCTTCTGGCATGTCACCCGTGATGTGATTATTACACATTGGAAAATGCTGAATTCATCCACTCTCTTTTCTCACTCCCACCATTTAACAGTCAAGGAAGTTAGGGTCCAGGGAACCTTGCTCAAGGTCACACAGCCAGTGGAGAGTTAAGTGGTAGGGTCTTGAGTTTTCTGACTCTCAGCCCACCTGCTTCCATTTCTGAAAGTGCATTTGCACCCCAGAATCACCTACATAGCAAGTGGAGCCTAATACCAAGAGGGGCAGGACTGTGTGATTCTGGAAACGACAACCAATCCTTCAGGGATGCTTGCAAATCTACCATCATCATCATTGTCATCATCTTCAAACATGCATGAAAACTGGGTTCCAGGTGTGAAGGTAGAACCAAGTTTGGCGCCTATTCTGGGCCATCACCTGAGTCTCCAGCCCTGCTCGGAAGAAGCCTTCTCGATGCCTGGAGAGGGTTAACATGCTCAACAGATTATCACGGCCTTGGATCTCCTCCTGGGAGCCGTATCAAACAGAAGTCAGGGCCGCCTGGGTTTGGGCTCTGATTTTCCCATGGATTGGCTGGTTTTATGTCCTGAGTAGGGGGCAGGAGGAGGAGTGATGTGGTGAGAGGTTATGAGACAGGAAAGGGCACCTGCATCCCAAAGCAGCTCTTACTTTCTGGACTAGACTTCAGAAAAATTCCTCTGAGTGAAGGCCAAGGCCAAAAATATCCCCTTTTCCTCTGGGCCTGAAGGCTCAGAACATATGAGGTAATGGGTTTCTTTCTTTTTTTTTTTTTTTGAGACAGAGCCTCAAGCTGTCCCCCTGGGTAGAGTGCCGTGGCATCACAGCTCACAGCAACCTCCAACTCCTGGGCTCAAGTGAGTCTCCTGCCTCCGCCTCCCAAGTAGCTGGGACCACAGGCGCCCGCCACAACGCCTGGCTATTTTTTGGTTGCAGCCGTCACTGTTGTTTGGCGGATCCGGGTTGGAGATTCGAACCCGCCACCTTAGGTGTACATGGCTGGTGCCTTAGCCAGTTGAGCCACAGGCGCCAAGCCAGGTAATGGGTTTCTGACATGACTCACTGGGTTTGGAGAAAGGCGAGGTGGACCCCAAATGGAAGAAAACAGAAAACAGTCCATAGGTCTTCCATGTCAATAAGCAACCCATCAAATACAAAATTCAACAGCAGGATCTAGATCTTCCTCATTTATGCCTGACAAATAGCTCCCAAAAGTCATTTGGAATTTTTAAAAAAGTCATTTGGTTACCTCTTTTATGTTTACATGGATGGAGCTGGAAAATATTCTTCTTAGTGAAGTATCTCAGGAATGGAAAAAAAAAATATCCCATGTACTCAATACTACTATGAAACCAATGTATAATCACTCACACTTTCATATGAAAGATGAATCACAACTATAGCCCAGGATGAAGGAGGGAGGGGGAGGAGAAGGGAGGAGAGTGGGTCGATAGAGGGAGGGTTAGTAGGGGGACCACACCTATGGAGCATATTGCAAGTACAAGTTGGATCTATCAGGTGTAGAACACAAATGTCTTAACTCTGTAATTGGTAAATGAGGTGAAGGCTATGTTAATTAGTAGGATGTAAGCACTCCAATTTGTACAAATAATCAACAGATTGAATACCATAATGGCATAAATGTATTCATGGTCTATGTACAAATGACTTAATAAAAAAAATACAAATGTACAGATTGTTCTTAAAAAAATAAAAAAGTCTTTTTGTAAATTGAAATTAATCCTACAAAAATAGGGAATTTTTTTGATTAAAAGGATATTCACCTCCTTTGAGGATTGTTTTTCTTTTTTCCTCTTGATACCAGCCCACTCACTTGATCTGTAATCTCTCTGGTCTATACACAACGCCGTATCTGATTCCCTTTGGTAATTCCTTCTATGGCAAAATTATATCCATTAGGTTTTCTTAAAGGGCTCTCTCCAGTTTATAACATGCTATTTTTCTTTTGTAATTATTTCTTGCTTTTGGGGGGAAAAAAGTCTTTTATAAAAGCAGTAAAAAGGTCTCTTCCCCCCTCTTTTTTTCCTTTTTCTTTTTGCTCTTACAGTGGAAGGAGGTGTTATTAACTCAGGGCTCTTCACAAAAGGCCTTGGCCACTTAGCCAGAGTGCAGTCGGTGTGCGAGTTTGGGATAATGGCTGCATTGTATTCAGTATCCCCTCTTCTTTAGGCCCTGGCAGCTCCCTGTGATAATTGAACATTTTAGCTCTTAAAGATTTCTTTACCTTATGTGGGGAAGGGAGAAGGGCAGCTGCTAGGAACCCCCTTTGTCAGTGAGGACACTTTGGCCCAGGGCAGGCAGCCTGAGGTTAGACCAGGCCTTCTCACCTGGGGAAGCATTGCTCAATTCCAGGGACAAAAGTTAGTGCTTGGGGTGGGCAGGTCTCAGAAAACTTTTATATCATCGTGTTTTATGTCCCTCCACAAGGCTGCGGCATATAACCAGATACACGGTGCCTTTGTGATGCTGTTACTCTTGGGCAGTAACTAAGAAAAACCAATCTCAAGAGGTTTCTTAGGAGAATGATAATGAAAACAGGTTGAGAAGCACTGGGTTAGACAGACCTCGAGTCAGCAGCAGGACAGAGGGGGATCTCTGCTTTTCGTTTTCGTGTGGGCTTGTCCCCATGGAAGGAGCCCTGCTTCAGCACCTCCCCGAGCCTCAGTGCTCCAGTGAGCAAGAACACGAACAAGACGAACTCTGAGATGTCCCCTAGCTCCGTGACTTCCTGCAGGCCCCCCTTGATATGGGCCAGCACGTCCAAACCTGGGCATGCACACCTGTATATACATTGATTATGTTTGGAATTTTTGGCCATGTAAGCTCACCAAATTGGAAGAAAGTCCAACCACGACAGACACAGATTAAACTTTTAGCTCTGAAAAAAGCCCCATCTTCTTTTTCTTCCTCCCCTAATCCCATACCCATCACTTTCTACCCCGTTCAGGTGCAGAAGTCTCAAAACAGCTGGACATTAAATACTCCGGACCCTCCCTCACTGCCCACCAACAGATCCATGGGGGTTGGAATCAAATGCAGGTGCCATTCCAGCTGCCTGGTAAGTAAAAAAGGATCAAGAATGATTAACACAAGGTGGAAGCATCAGGTGAGCTCCCTTCTGCGCAGGAGACAGTTCGGCAGCAGGTACCTTTGGGAGTGCGACAGCGATGGCATGGACGCTGAGGTCCCTGGATACCTCCAGTGGCTTCCAAACCCTTCTCAGAGCCAGCTTACACAAGCGCATGCAGAGAGGGTCCACCCAATCAGAGAGACGGACCTGTGGGCTTCTCGCCCCCACACAAATCAAAGGCAGCAGTAACAGGTGCAGTGCCCATGGCCGGAGCAACCAGGCTCCCCTGCTCAGCCCTCCAGTGGGAGGGGAAGGAGCAAACCACTCAGCCTTGGCCAGTTCTCCAGAGGAGGAAAATTCCTTCCTGACCCTAGCGAGGATCGTCAACTTCACTCTGGGCAAGAGACCAAAAATCTACCCAATTAAGCATCTACACATTGGCTGCTTGTGTATCAAAGCATCATCAGACAGAACAAGGCCGTGGGGTGTGCAAGATGGATGAAGGAGACCAAGAAGGGGCTTCCCCAGTCCCTCCATCCGGGCAGTATCACTGGGAAGAAAAATGCTTTTCCTTCCTCCACACCTTGGCCCCAGCAGAATGTCCCCTGGGTTTCAAGCTTTGCTCCATTTTCCCACCCTTTTGACCTCCCTAAGAAGGGACATGCTGAGGAAACCCTGTGGAGTATTTCGACACTTACTGCTAGAGAAGCCTTGTGGGTTGGGTGCTTGAGTGTTTGTTCTTCTGGGAGAAACTAAAGCAGCTGTGAGAACCAACTTGCTGACGCCTTGTCAAGTGAGTCCCCATTTTTCTTTAGTTTGCTTAGGGAATTTGCTTGTTTATTTGAATCTGAGGTGCAGCGAAGACCCACAGAAGGTTGCCATACAGTTTGCTATGGGCTTCAATGCAAAGCTCACCAGCTTGGGATTAAATCCATCAGGTATTAAATCCTATTTCTGCTGCAAAGGACACATGGGGCACATTTCTTATGACTCGGCTTGCTGAAATTCTTGATTTTTTTTTTTTTCATACGGGGATGGTATATTAACATTCATGACCCTCTGTAAGCCCCAGTTTCCTCATCACTAAAATGGGAACTTTACCAGGATGTCCTGAGGATTTGATAAAATTAGTTAATATACATAGAGGGCTGGGTATAATACCCACGTGCATACTTGTTCCAGAGGGAAAAATCTACCATGATCAATGTATCTAAGAAATATGCAACATGTCTGGTGACTTCTGAGAAAAGGAGACAACCAAACTGTGAAAAAGCTCCTCTTAAGAGTACTTTAGATTATGAAAAATCATTCTTATGGAGAACATGAAGACGAAGAATTAAGCTTTCCCTTGGACAGGCAAACAACCTCTTTCCCTGGGGTTTAAAGCTAGACTAAAAAAAACATGGAGTTGTCTCCTAAAACACAAAGCTGTTTCTTACATCACTCAGTCTTTCTGGGCCTGGGTTTTCTCATCTGTAACATGAAGAGGCTGTACCTATGGTCTCTGATACACTTTCCCGCTTATACAATTCTCAGCACCTCATCCTGAGCGGGGTCTCAGCTCTGGTTGAGCAGGGAGCATGTGCTTCCAGTGGCTGCCAGCAGGGGGCAAACCCACAGACACCCTACGCTGCAGGAGTCCAAAAGGCCTGAGAATACAGTGGAAAACTAACCAGTGCTTTTCGGGAGGCCTTCTATTGTGGCGGGATGTGAGAGGGCAAAATGGGCTTCCTTTCAACTATTCTGTACAGACGAATTCCTGAAAAAAAATGCACAAACTATAATAAGGCAGCTGTCTGTGTCAGGGAGCTGGGGGGCCGCGAGCAAACTAGTAAGGGACAGGAGATAAGGTCGGGTTGGGGGTTGGGGGCTTCCTTTGAAGGTGGATATTCTTCTGTATAAAATACAGCTTCCCTTCCAAAGACAGCTTTAGGAGGGTGGAGACTCGAGTGCCTGCACCATCCTCTCCTGGTTACCCCTGGTTCAGTAAATGATCCCCATGGAGTGGGGGGCCGATGGGGGTGGGTGGGTGGCCACAGCCTGAGACATGTCCTCTCGGGCAAACAGCTCTGGCTAGCCACTGTGATGGGACCTAGTGAAGAGGCCAGGGCTGGGGCTGAATGGACAGACCCAGGCCCCAGGCCCAGCTTCTGAGCCCTGACACCCCTGAACATTCATCCAAAAGAGAAAAGAAAAGGTGCTTACGTGAGGACAGCGGTGGCTAGCTCCAAAGGGAAGGCTTTCAAGGCAAGAGAAGGCAGGCGCTCCCAGCACCAGCGTACAGTGGAAATAAAGGCACCTGTAGCCTTGTGATATAAGTGACACCTACAGACAGGTCCGTTTGGTTTTTCAGGTTTATGCACAGCCCCTTTGATGACGGTGACATGGAGTGTGACACAGCTCCTTGGAGGGGGGGAATGGTTCTCACATGCAGAAAGTTTACCTTTATCCTGCTTTTGTGCCTGGCTCCCCCTGCATTCCACCCCCCCAACACACACAGCCCAGAGGACTCAGTAAACAAGCAGAGAATTCTTGCCTTGGGGAGCCCTGCGGGGTTGTGCATTTGCCGTGCGGGAGTGTGCCGTTCACTGAGGAATTCTCCTTTGTGCAAGCTGGGGTGGGTGTCCTGTGCTTCTGTTCATTAAACATCCTTCTCCCTTTGGGGCATGTGTGGAGAAGGACAGGCTGTACGGGGCAGTGGTTAAGACCCCAGGTTTTGCAGCTAGATGCCTTTAGATTCGATTTCTGTGTCCATCATTTTCTAGCTGTGTTGCCTTGAATATCTAACTAACTGGTCTGGGCTTCATCTGCCTAGTGCAAGCAACAGGGCCTCTCCACTGGGCTGCTGTGAGGGCAGGAGGAGATGTGAGTGAGCCTGGCGTTAGCTACTGTGATCACAGCGTTTTCCTTGACAGAGGGGGTTAATCAGAACTCCCCTTCTCTGCCAACCTGCACCTTCCAACCGGGTGAGGAGAACAGTCAGCTCAGAGAACCACTTTTGGGATTTTTGCTCCCTGAGTACCAACAGGACATCAGACACATTAACTTCTTAAACTCCTGATACTTTGGGAGGTAATGAGCCATGCAGTGGCTTCCTCCCTCTCCCCTCCTCTGTTGTACAGATGGACAAATGAGGAGGATTAGAGGCCCAGCCAGGTGTCCAAAGCTAATAGGCCAGGGGGCCTGACTTGGATGCCAGCTCTCAGGTATCTCGCTGAGAACTGCCTACTTTTTAGTACTTCCTTGTGAGAGCAGAAACTCAACCTAATTTGGGCTCTGAAATACAGTATCTCAGGTCATCTATGGGACAGCATGTATAACCATATGCCTTTTTGCACTGTGCTTCCAGCCATCTGGGGTGGCCAAGACGTTGTATCCAAATGGCAGACTCTAAACTTTAAAGTGAAAGCAGGGACTGGTTTGTTAGGTTTTCTTGGGAGCACTGGGAATAGGTACAAACGCACAAATGCAAACATACACACTGTCTAGAGAAACAAAAGACAGTTCATTAGAGGAGTCAGGGTTTCATCATGGAAAAATTGTTGAAAAAAGATTGGCCGCTGGCTCGGCTGTGTGACCTCAGGCGGGTCAGGGAGCTTCTCTGGGCTTCATTTTCACCAGTGGTAAAAGAAGGATGTGGGATTAGAATAATGATTTTCAAACTGTGTTATGAGGAACCCTCAGGGGTTCCTTGGAGCCCTCCCAGGGGCTATGGGGGGTGAGAGAATGAGAGTGGAATGGAGTGGGTTAGGCCATCTCCCTGCCCCTGCTGCCACACTTCTTGAGTCAATAAGAGCATCTCAAGTTTTTGTATAAACCTTCTGGGTAAGATTTCATTTGAACAAAAGAATCTGCACTTAAAAAGCGTTTGCAAATAACCAGATTAGATGGTCTTTGGAATTCCTTTATGTTTTAAATTCTGCAGCTTCTCCTCTTCTTCCTTGGTTTCTAGGGGACTGTGAAAGTCCCTCAGGCTATATTCTCCACTGGTGGGCACTACCCTATCTCATCACAGGTTTCTGAAGTGCTGCTAATGTTTGCTTTTGCATACACATATTCTTAGTGGAGAGTTTTTCAAAGAAAACATTATTTTGATAGGGCTTTTAGAAAAGAGTTTTTGGAGAAATTATTTTTTTTCCTACATTATCTCAACTCGATTATTCCCTCCCTCCCCTCCGACCCGGGGGCTGTGGCTGCCAAATTAACTCAATTATTGAGTGTAAAAAGTTTTCTGGCATGACCACAAGCTGTCTGGCTCATGGTCCTGAATGTATAATCTAGCGTCTTGGAGTGCCCGTATGTGAAATTACAGGCTTCTGGACCAGTGGATAAAAGGGATGATTAAGATAAAACCAAAATAAAAGAGGAATTTGACTCTAATTAAGTGTAAGCATCACATTTAAGCTAAATTTGATTGGAGTGGAGGTCTTGGATGATAGTGAACATGAAGCTTCTAGAAACTGCGTTGTGAGTGTTGGATGGCAAGAAGGGATGGGGACTGGGGGTGGGGCAGAGGAGGGCAGAAGGACTCGGGGTGGGGAAAGAGGGGCAGAAGAAGGATGGAACATTTTAGAGCTCCCAGCTTATCCCACCTATGCTGTCTCAACCTTATAGTAATCACAAGTAACACCGACTAGGCTTATAATCGTAACATGGGGCTCAGAAACCAGATTCTAAAGGGAGACTTCCTATGTTTGAGTCTGCTCTGACATATGAGTCTACATGAGTCTGGGAAGCCTGTTTAACATCTCTGCATGCCAGTTGCCTCACCTATAAAGAATATACCTCTTTGCACATTCTATCTAGAATGTATAAAGAACTTTTACAATTCACTAATAAAAGGACATAACCAAATTAAAAAATGGAAAAAAAAAGAATATACCTCTTGTAAGGCTGTCATGTGAACTAAATGAATTAAAACAGAGGGAGCAGAGAGAGCCCTAACTAAGCATGGCCTGTTATGTTTCTCACATTAAATTCTCACACATCTTTGATAAGAGAGTTACTTAGCATTGCTATGTTACAAATGAGGAAACCGAGGCACAGAGAGGTTGGGTAACGTGTCCACGGTCACACAGATATGTGAAAGAACAAGTATTTTAGTGTAGGCTACTTTTTTCCAGAGTCCATCCTCTTAACTGCTGTGCTCACCAGTTTCTGGGTGCTTGGGGGGTAGTTCTTTGATAACGTGGAGTATTTACCGTGGGCCAAGTATTGTGCGAGGATGACTCACCTCTATTTCCTTCGTTATTTTTCACAATAACCAGGGGGAGGTAGCTATCACCACTTTCTTTTCAGGATGAAGAAACAGAGGTGCCGTGCTTATGAGGGCTCACCCAGCTGGCTAGTGGCCAAGCCTATGTTGAGCTCAGGTCTGCCCAGTGTGAAAACCACACTATAGAAACAGGGACTCAAGTTGGCCTCTCTTTTCTTGCTTTAGCCTCAGCACTGGCCTAACAGGGGACCTTTCCTTCTCTGTTGCCTAAAGCTCTGTAGGGCTCATGGTCATTGCTGGCACAGGCTGCCTCTTAGGTTAGAGTGGAAATTCTGATACCTCACCGAATCTCCGGTTCCTAGTATAGTTCTTGGGATAAAGAAAACAGTTAATACCTTCATGTATCTTAACATCATGTGACTTAAAGGCCCTGTCATCTGACATAAGGCTGGAGGCTCCCACCCCCAGATATAGATCTAACAGGATCCATGTCTCAGCTGCTTTTCCGAGAACTTGTCCTTTTTAAAGCAAGGCCAGTGTTTCTTTTATTTCTTCTTTCCCCCAACCTGCCACATTCACCACCCCACCCCAAAGCAGCACAGGCTGAAAAACAAAGTGAGTTGAAATAATAAGTTTAGGTAAGTTCCTAGATGATACCACTGGGAGGAGAGATCTGCAGTGTAATGGCGAAATGTACAAACTTTGGATTCAGACTCCTGTCTCAATTATTCTGATATTAGTTCTGTGCCCTATTGCCTCAAATATTTAAGAACACATAGTGGGTGTGCAGGACAACAAACTCCTGGCACCCGCCACCTGGGAGGCACTGGATGAGCCCCCCAATTTTCAGGGCTTCAGTTTCCTGCTCTGTGGAGTATCTACTTTGATTCCTGGTACATGGTAAGTTTCAGTAAATGGTGGCTGTTATAATGGGCTACACAGAGAAATGCAGGTATTGATGGACACCCTGACCTGTGAACGTCACTTATACCCAGTGGGATAATGTTGCTCTTCTGTAATGAATAATCATCCTGGCTACCATTTTCTGGGCATTTACAAGGTGCCAGGAACCATGTGTATTAAGTCATTTAATCCTTTCATCATTCCTGCAAGGTAGGTATCATTATTATCACTTGAAATTTACTGATGAGGAAACTGGCATGGAGAGGTCAACTAACTTGCCCAATATCACACAGCTGGGAGTTATCACACAGAGCCAGGGTTTCAACCTGGCTGGGATGGCACCAGAGTCCACAGGCTTCCCCACTCTGCTCTCATTTGGTACCTCTAGGTGAGGTAGAATCTAGGTGGAAAAGATGCCAGTTTTCTTAGGCACCCAGGTTGTTGGCAGAACCCTTTAAAGCAAGGACAGAGTTGTAAATCTTTCGTCCCCTAAATGCTCAGCGTGAATTTGAACACAAATAGCTACTCCGGCACTTCTTGTTGGTTGATTGTACATTCTCAGATTTCTTTCCTCTGGACTATCTTCCCTCATCTTCCTATCACCAGTTCACCCTTCGGCTGCTCATGCTTTCCTGACTGGGAGCCTCAGTTGAGAGCAACAGGGCAGTGGCTCCCTAATGCCCCTCCCTTGGCTACAAGCCTCAGGACAGTAAAGGGTCTCTATCATTCCAGCACTAAAGGCACCATGGAGGCTAAGCAAGGGCAAGGTTGATGGCCAGCAGAGACATAGCGAAAATGCAAAAATCTGGGAGGAAAAATAGCAGAATTCATTAGAATTTCATTAAAATCTGTATTGAAAAATACTGATTTTATAGTTATAAGGTTGGATTATGATAATGTTTGTGAAAAAGTCAACATAGCTCCATGACCATATTGCTAGTCTTCCTTCAGTGGAGATGCGAAAGTCAACCTTTTGGAGGTTTCTATGTTTTGGGTCGGCCCAGTGAATCCGAAGCAGTGATGACTGTTTGAAGCCCAGCTCTGAGAGGCTCAGCCAAGGGCGCCCTTCTTGCAGGAAGGGCTCTTGAAGATGAATTGTTCTTTAGTTGCACCTGAAGACCAGATGATACCTAAATACCCTCTGCAGTATTGAAGTTCCCAATACCTCGTACCACCATTCAAAACTTACTCGGGGCTAT